CTTAACATTTTGAAGTTCCCATGGAGAAATAGCAGCCTAATATTGTTCCATGTCATATAATAAGATACTCTTGTTGTCAATTGATTAATATTTAGATTACAAGCATATTCTCACAAGAATCTCGTAACATAAGATGAACATTTTAGGTGCCTGGAATACTCTACCTGACTCTGTGGTTTCTTCCACTAACCCCAAACACTTTAACCTCAGACTTTCTACTGTTGACCTCACACCTAAGAGGTCTGTAAGGGACGTGCATAAGAGCACCAATCTGCCTACTGTCTCTGTCTTAATGTTCCCTTTTATTCATATCTATTTCATGTATTAATAATCAAGCTTTTATTTATATATATAAAATCAAATGCATGCTTAACAAAATAAATAAATTAAATAAAATAAAATAAATAAAATAAAATAAAATAAAGTACTGAGTTTATAACATGCCCAAGTGCAGATAGATAAAAGTCCATCAAACTGCTGACTTGATCTCCTGGATTTGATCTGACTGAACTTCCTTTGATCAGAAGTTTTAAATAAAAATTTCATAGAGCCTACAGGAATATTTACAGCCCAATTTGCAGCAGATTCTGCCTCTAGTGGCCTATACAATAAGTGCAGCTCTTAAAACTGGTAAAAGAAGTATAATGTATGCTAAAGAATATTTAGGCATGCTTCAAATTCGAAAGCCTCTTCCTTTAAACAAAACAAAATTAAAATTAAACAAAATCAAGGTACAAAACATTTTCTATTGAAGTATATAGATCTCTGTTGCCACTCTGTTGTTGTCTGTCCTTCTATCACAAAGATGGGGCAAGAATGCAAACTGTACAAAGGAATAGCAAAGGAATTGCAGAAGGTAATATCTACTTGCCTTCTGTTTAATGCATCTTCGTGTCTTTCTTTCCTTGGAACAACCTAGAAGCAGAAGAAACAGAGGGCAAGAATCAGGGTTTTGCATGTTAAATAATTATGGGGAATAAAGGGAAATTTTAACAAGTATTGTTTCTCCCACCCAAATCCCAACTGAAAAGATTCTGTTGCAGAGGGCGGGGGAAACCTTAGCTGCAAAGAATAAATGGGTATAGGGAAGTCACATCACAACAGAATCACAACATCATGTGCAGAAGGATAGATATGGATTAGAAGTTGAAATAGCCTTCTTTGGTAAATATTTTGAAAGATTAAAAATCTCTTAAATATTAAGAGTGGACCGAAAGTCTTCTGTTTCTCTGATTTGGAAAATATTACTTGGCTCTCACATTTCACCTTCTACTCCTATGAAGATATCTTCCTATCCTTCAGCTCCTATGAAGGAAGATGAGAGTTACATTACTGATCCTATCCCCAACACTACGTGGCTACTCAGCACCAACCTGCCTGATGTCCAGAACTGGGGAATAGAGGAATTGGGAAGTTTCCAATTGCATGAGAGTGTACATGCAGGTTTTTCTCTGCAAAAGCAGCACATAAGTGGACACCCATAATTTTGAGTAGTGAGCCCAAATTATCCTAAAAATTATCACCAAAATATGTTTATTTGAAGTTGGCCTGGGGAATAATCATGTTGGTTATATTTAGTTTTCATTAAGTTTAAATGTAGATAAAATACAATCAAAATCAATTTTGCCTTGGTTATACATATTATATTTTGGAAGGTCAAAGATTAGCCCAGACACATACAAATGTTGGGTAACCTTACCCTCGGCAATTATCTGCACTTTATATGTAAAAAAATATTGCAGTGGTAGTCGTGCAGCCTCATTGCCTTTGTGCAAGTAGAATATTACTTGTGTCATTGCTATAGGACATAGGGCTGTCAAACTCACAGCCTCTTGGCTGGATGTGTCACATACTGGCCACATCCACACCCAGTTTAGCAAAGGGGGAGAAAGTCCCGATACATCACGTGATGCCGCTATGACGTGAGTTTGACACCCATGCTGTAGATTTCATTTTTAAATAAGTGATCTTTTCATAATTTGTAATAAATCCTTACCCGGAATGAGATTGTCCTTGGACTGATCCGGTTGAATGAGCTACTATAGGTAATCCGGGGTTCAGAAATTAGTATAGGAGCATCAAAACCTTCTTGACCAGAGGGAGACCTTATAGTTTTAGCATTTAATTTGGGAATAGCTCTTTCTGTGACCTGGAAGAGAAACATGAACCAAAGAAGCATAAGGCAGAGGACTGAGAAAAGAATCGATGGCTGTTCTACCGCAGACATTTTTAGTAAAAATTGGAAATAAATCCTTTTGAACTCTAAGACTAATTACCCTACTGAGCACGTCTATTTAGATCCTACAACATATTTAACAAATGGCCTGATTACCTCTTCTAGGTTTTTTGAGAAAAAATTATATCTACTAAGGTTTCATTACAAAGTATAGAATGTGTAAATCCAGTATGATATAGAACATAAGGGCTAGGAAAAGATAGGCTACATATGTAAAAAAGAATAAATGAAAATAATTGTAAATTATTAAAGCAAGAAAAAGGCAAAACAACTTCATTGTTGCAACATGAAAAGGCTGTGAAATGATTTTCCAAAAAGGAGTTTTAGCCTTTTGTGGGGGGGGGGGGGTGTATTTTAGCACTTATGTAAAATACTTCCATACTGTTTAAATATTTTTTGAGGCTTTTACAAACCTCCCAAAATTGTTGTTTTATTATATGTATCACTAAATTATGTGTTGTAATTGTATGCTGCGAGCAGCAGAGAGTAACATTGTTAACTGGGTCTTTCTAAATATAGTTAAGATATTGATTAATTTTATCAAATAAACATCCACTAATAACAGACTGGATAATTTGACTTTTGATACCGCTTAGACCAATAGTAGACTGTTTTTTCTGATCCTGAGCACCCTTGCACAATCTTGATCTATGGCAACTTCATGGCAAAATCAATAATCTTGTCATTATCTCCAAAGCCATATGACAGGGACGTCAAACTCACAGCCTATGGGCCAGATGCATCACACGCTGGCCACGCCCACCCCATTTTAGTGAAGGGGGAAAGTTGTGATGCGTCACGTGACAACATGACACTGCAAGTTTGACACCCCTGCCATGTGAGGTTTTGATAATATCTGACATCATTTCAGCATCCTCAGGTGATAGCCTTTTAATGAAAGTCTTACAAGATTTCAAGATTGGATTACTCTAATATAGGGGTAATAGGAAAGCTTCTTGTGAATGTAAGATGCTCTATGTTACTTAATCCTGCCTTAGGCCATGTCTGCTCAGCTATTTCTTGATCCTTTAACCCTGCTGCTGAATGAAGCTGCCAACTTAGATATGAGTAATTACTCCATGTATTCAATTTACTCCATATCTAATTTGCATCTTTGCCCAATTAACTTTTCATCAAACTTTCTCTGTCCTCCGTAAAATACCAAGACTAAGTACCTGTGGTGCCTCAGAAGCAGGTGTGGCTACAGCAGGATCAGTAAACTTTCTAGCTCTTGGCTGAATTTTCACCTCAAGCCTGCTGATGCTTTTACGTTCCCAAGAAACTCGTTGAGGTTCCTGAGAAGCCACCTCATTCTGGGTCACAGCCAGTCTCTGAGATTCACATACGCTCGGGACCTTCTCCTCCTCTTTGAAGACCTGATCCTCATCTGTTTTGAGGTCCTTCACATGCTTCGTGGCTTCATGTTTCTCCACTGCGATCTCCTCTTTTTTCTGACTCTGGATTTGAGGGCTTTCCTCTAAAGCACCCTTTTGCTGAATGGGGGCTTCGTATTTTTCTGCTCTTCCTTCTTCTTTGGATGATTCTGGAGGAGGTGTAGGATTCTCTTCAGGAGGTTCCTTTTCAAATTTCTTAGTAATCACTAGTATTTTCTTCTCTTGTTTTATATTATTTAAAAACTCTGCTCTCCTCCTCACTCTCCTGCCTTCCAGTTTATTTACTGAAACTGGTTCAATCTTCTCGTTTTTCCGTGCTGAATTTTCCAAGTTAAGCAGCTTTGCCTCTAAGGAATTATCAACCCTAGGAAAAAGAAGGAAACGTGAACAGCACTAGATGGCACTAGAGGTTAAATTTTAGAAGAATTCACAGATTCACCCGCTTTACACAGGAATGAGATTTACAAACCAGGTTATAAATAATTTCATAGGTCTTTGGGGGCTGTAATAGGGGTAGGGTTATATTCATATGACTTGATTGTTTTGGAAATTTGAAGCAGTCATTTTTATATAACAAAGATTAATAGAGATTAAATTAATAGCAGGATAGAATCAAGATCACTTGAAGTTCAAGTACCGCTTTACAAAGTCTTAGTAAGACCACACTTGGAATACTGCATCCAGTTCTGGTCACCACAATACAAAAAAGATGTTGAGACTCTAGAAAGAGTGCAGAGAAGAGCAAAAAAAATGATTAGGGAACTGGAGGCTAAAACGTATGAGGAACAATTACAGGAATTGAGTATGTCTAGTCTAATGAAAAGAAGGACTAGCACTGTTCTAACCCCTCTACAAGATGAGGGATCAAACTATTTTCCAAAGCACCAAAGCCAAGGCAAGAAACAATGGCTGGAAACTAACCAAGGAGAGAAGCAATCTAGAACTAAAAAGGAATTTCCTAATGGTGAGAGTAATTAACAGCTTGCCTTCAGAAGTTGTGGGTGCTCCATCACTGGAGGCTTTCAAAAAGAGACTGAACAACCATTTGTCTGAAATGATATAGAGTTTCCTGCTTGATCAGGGAGTTGGCCTAGAAGACTTCTAAGATCCCTTCCAACTCTGTTGTTTTATGTTCTATGTTCTAGATCAGGGCTGTCAAACTCACATCCCATGGGCTGGATGCATCATGCACTGGCCACGGCCATACCCGGTTTAGCAAAGAGGGGGAAAGTCCTGATATGTCATGTGACACCGCTGTGACGATGCAAGTCTGACACCCCTGTTCTAGATGATGACAATTCAGATTTTGTTTTTAAAGTTTGGTACAGAAATGTTAAGTAAAGAAAATTTCTCTCTATGTCTTCTATGTAGATAGCTTGCATATACCGTATACATCATGCAAAAGAAACATAAAATGAAGGTCCATGACTGGAATGAAAAAGGTGCTATTGAAAGTGACTAAGGAATTTATCTCCTATCAGAGTCTTGATGGAATGCATTCTCATTGGAACAAAGCCTAACTAATACGGCTCCATAAAAATAATAATAACTAGAATGATGCAAACGAGATTCACGTTTCATTTTTAAAGTGCATATGGCACCAAGCTGTTTCTTATCATTTTCTTCAACTTTTAAAAACCAATGCACAGGCACTCTAGAAGCTTCTTCTCTGCATCTCCTGAAACATACATTATGACCATCATTCTAAAAAGTGCTGATGAAGGAATGATATTTTGCTGCAAAAAAAAAAAAAAAAGGCAAGTGCGGAATGTTTCAAGGATTGTGAAAAACTGAAAGAGATCTCTAACTACTTTGTGAACTGTTTAAAATGAACCACAGTCTCTACTTATCCCTCTCTGATCTGGCAAATATTACTGTGAAGTTTCTGAGTTTTCCTCATATACTATGAATTTGGCAAGAAAGCCATAACTAAATTATGCCAATCTCTTCAGTTTAAATTTCTGGCTAAATAAATAAAGAAGGTCAAAGGATTGGAAAGTGTTGTATTGAAAATCCTTGATAGTCACCAACAACCAGCAGCAATTATTCTGAGTTAGGCAATCCATTCTGTACTCAATATAATAATAATCTTAGTTGGTGTGGCGTCATAGAACAGAAAAAAGATCAAATAATCCTGTCCTGCATTAAAGTATACATTCTCTCTATTCCTTTACAAACTATCTATAAACATAGATTGGAATCTTTAGTTACTCCTCCATTAGTGGTAGGATTCAAAATTTTTTACTACCAGTTCTGTGGGCGTGGCTTGGTGGATGTGGCAGGGGAAGAATACTGTAAAATCTCCAATCGGAGGTGGTATTTGCCGGTTCTCTGAACTACTCAAAATTTCCACTACCGGTTCTCCAGAACTGGTCAGAACCTGCTGAATTTCACCTCTGTCCTCCATTCATGAAAGGTAGAGGTGGTATTCAGCAGGTTCATGAGAACTGATAGTGGAAATTTTGAGTAGTTCAGAGAACCGGCAAATACCACCTCCCCCATCTATTCTCTGCCTCCCGAGTCCCAGCTGATCGGCTGGGTCTTCTTTTGTTGCCCTGCACAGGAGAATGGAGCTAGAAAGCAGGTTATAGTGGGGTGGGAAGAGAATGGGGATTTTGCAGTATCCTTCCCCTGCCATGCCCACCAAGCCACACCATACCCACCAAGCCATGCCCACAGAACCGGTAGTAAAAAAAATTAAATCCCGCTACTGATGAAAGGTAAAGAGATTTTGTCAATTCCCATTGTGTCTTCACCTCTCTGTACACATGCACATTGTTCCCCACAATTTTGAAGAGCCGTGTAGGTTAGAAAAAGGAGAAGACATGGAAACATGTTTTAATTTCATGGAGAAGGTGGAGTGTTAGGTTCAAAGTATAATCTGGTTCCATTTAATTTATACCTATCTCCCTAAATCTCAATCCCCATTCTTCATAAAATAATATTAGTTCAAACAAACAGAAAGTCATTGTCTCTTTTCAAAATCATTAGAATTTGCTTCAATTTCCAAGCAATTTGCACAAGCTCCACAACAGCCTAACCTGCAAATACAATTACCTGTTTGGTGTCTGACTGGTCACCTTCTGTACTGTGCTACTGGAGGATTCCTCCTCCTTCGTTTCAGAGGTGGAACTCAGCTGCCTATGTCTTCGCCTGCGCTCTCTCTCCTGCTCCTCTCCATCCTCAACAGACCATTGTTGAGCCAGGCTGGAAGGGAAAAAATGGGGGGGGGGGGCAGAAAAGTATTAGTAATCAGTATAGAAAGAAAAGAGGCTATCAGAACAGACTGGTTTTTATCACACAGTGCAACTATGCAACATTGACACTAACTCTTTCAGAGCTCATACGTATCTGAAATAAGATGAGCTGACTTTCCTCCAATCATAGGTATTGTTTTAAAAGTCTTGTTGTAAAAGTATATACAGGTTTATGTTTGTTTCCATCTAAAACATTCAAGAAGAAGAAACCAAGGCCAATAATCATATATTACAACCTTTGAATTTTCTCAAGGAGGTATCAGAACAGACTCATATGAAAAGTGCCTGTTTATCTTCTGTATGCATTTGAAATTGTGCCTTTAAATAGAGAACATCGTTTTTAAACCTGTGCCAAGGCTTCTTTGTACATCAGTCTAAAGAACCATAACTACAAGGAAGGAAAGTGGGATGTATGAATAATTTAGAATAGCTGAGCCCCCACCGTATACAGTTGTGATACCAGCTTTCTGAATGGAGTGCAACAGAGCCTGTTCAAGAGATGGCTGAAAATGAAGAACCCTACATTCACCCAGGCTAAGGATACTGTGTTGTTTTCATCCCATCAGTTCAAAGATGAGCCCCTACCAAAACTTCAGTTTTTCCAGCCTCACAAATGTCTCAGACTGGGAAATCAGAGGAGTAACTTTTAATACTTCAATCAGATTCTTCAGAAAGGGTGCTGTTGAACGTACTACTGATTGTGGCTTTCAGCATAAAACTGCAGTTGGACTTAGCTGATTGCTTCTATTGTCCTTACAATAGGTAAGAAGCTTACTTGGAATGATCCATAATTCTGGTTTTCTCTGCCCTTTACCTCTGAGGACAATTTTCTTGATTTAGTCTGGTGCAGCTGCAATGCTTTGATTAGATTCCATCTCTTTGAACCAACTTCATCCGCCTACACTTGACTTTCCCCACCAGACCAGGTCTAATCAGATGCCACTGGCTACAGAGGAAGACACACACCTACTCTTTATCTCATATTTCACCAACCTACCCCCAAATTCCCATCTTTTGCTAGGTATCTGACTCAAAATTACCATAAAGAAAATAATACCAAATATCTCAACCATGTTGTCTCAGAGCATACTCCCATCTGATGGTTTTCTTAATGGGAAGGTATTGCAATACCTCCATGTATGGATGGGACTTTAGAAGCATTTCCTGCTCTTCTTGTTTACGTGTTAGCACACTATCAGTGGTCTGACATGTTAGTCCCAGGAAAACCATGATAATGACATTGCATAGATTTCTTACAGCAATAATGTATGGCAGAAGCTTATTCTTCAGTCACCTACAGAAAGGGAGGAAAGGAAGGCAAAGCAAAGCTAACCTGAGCATGGGCATCACTTGACACATCTGATACTGTGGCAGCAGTGTGAAAGCAGTCCAAGTTTTTGATATGTTTGGTAGCTCTTCTGTCTCTGATGAAGTTTCAGCTCTAATCCATGGCATTGGAGCTGCCCCGTTTCTTGGCATTCATGAAAGTTGCCATTCAGGGATTTGCTATCACAAGGTTGCTAGTTAATAATTATCACAGCAGATATTCCTCTGCATTTTTAGTTTCAGTAAAAAGTTTAGCCATTATGTTTTTCACTCAAAGAAATGGCTGTATAAATGCAGAATCAAAGGGGATAGACATAGGAGAAATATTTTGAAGGGAGGGGAAAAGGGCATGTTGAAACCTCTGGCACCAAGCTTTAAATCATCTTAGCACTGCTGGTGGCAATCCAAGACCTGCTCTCAATATACTTGAGGTTCTCTGTCATTTATGACTCATAGATTTTCCTCTTTCATTATTTTTGAATCAACAAAAGGCAGCCCCACCCTCCTTTACAATAATCCTATTTTTCGAGTACTGTATTGCCTTACTAGACTGATGTCATGATCTGATCAAACTGATTACCATTGTTTCAAATAGCCCTGTGCTTTGTTTGTTCTCCCTTTTTTTCCCATTGTCCACATTCTTCTGAAATTATTCTAGGTAATGCTTGAATATTGAGGTAATATTGAGCTGAAAGACAGTGTAACTGGCTTGACTTAGTTATCCATCACTGCAGTTGTAGAGTCTGATCTCTAAATTGCACAGAACCCAGCTGTGTTTTTGGATACTGTTTTCTGATATATTTTTTCACACTCAAGACTCCTTTTCTCTATCATCGCCTGGATTAAGAGAAACCTTACCACAGGCAGATCTGCATCTAATACCTTTGTAAGAGTGCTGTACATAAGAAACCACTTAGGCTACTGACATCAGTGTGGAGTCTGAATGAGTAATCAAAGTCCAACAAATAGCATTCCTGTTACATCATTTATGTATGCTTAAAATCAAGCAACATGTTGGTTAATTGGCATCTGTTTGCACTGTCAGCAATCAGGCCATTCCCTCTCCTGTCCTTCAAGCAAGTTCTCATGCTCTTCTTCTTAATTGTTATTTGGTAATTGAGAAGACTTAGCACTGTGCAGAGCACTAAGAAAAGACAGGGGCATTGAGTGTCAGCAAACATCGTGTATTCAAAATCCCAAGCAATTCAACTAATAAAAGATAGGGCCCAGGGCTAAATATATGGTTTCTATGAAGATTTTGATCCCATGTATTTCTAAGTAGGGAAGGGGAATACTGCTGTTTGAAATGTAGTGGCTGCTGCCATTAAACTAAGTAGACAATAGGCTACTTACTCCAGTGCTGTATTGAAATGTTGTTCTCTCATTCCTGACAGGATAGAAACCTATACTGGAATAAAATTTACCATATACATTGCCAATTCTTACTGTACCTCTGTTTCAAATCACTGCAATCAAGAGATTCCCACGGCTAACAGAGTTAGGGGGATTTGAGATCATCCTTGGATGATCCTGGAAGCAGGAGGACAATTCTACTTCCTTTAGATACAGCTAAAGATGAATTAATATTGTGTCACTCATGGATTATGGATGAGATGAAGGCAACATTATGGGGATGTGACAATAAAATGAAGTGGCCAGGGCACGTACTCATTTCTACTGTGATTAGGTATAAGTAAGGAAGCACCAATGATTTCTTACCATGCATCCTCATACATTTCATAGCCCTGAATTGAATCTTGCATAGCAGTGTTCAATTTACGTTTCAGTTAGTGATGATAAAATGTGGCTAATCCTGGAGAGATCCAGGTTTGAGTTCCTGCTTTGCCATGAAATTCACAGAGTAACTAAACCAGCTGCTATCACCCAGCCTAAGCTATCTCATAAGATTGCTGTGATAATAAAACTTTCAGGAAAGTCTAAATACATCTCTTTGAAAAATATAATATAAATGCAACACATAAAATAATAGCTAGTACTAAAATTAGATTAACCCAAACTGTATGTTGCTTTCCTCTGGTTTGTGGATTTATACAATGGTGCGTTGATTTGTATTGTGACCTCAACCAGTAAAGAGAGAAAATCCTAATACTTTCCTAATAATTATTAAAAGCATCCAGCTCCCACTATGGGCAATTTAGTAAATCAAAGCAAAAACAAGCAGGACAAGACTGTTGATCTTTCGTTTGGTTTTCTTTTTTTTTTTTTTCTGGGTACAAGAAAGTGACAGAATCACAAGCAGAGTGTACCTCCACCAATCCATAAAATCCATCCACACATAACTAAGTTTGTGCATATGCCCACACACCTGCTGCTTATAAACTATGCCTCTATATGTTTTAGGTGCTTCCCAAGTTCCATTTCAAACTCATCTGCTGATATGATTCCAGTGAAATGAGTTTGGTTTGGGAGGAGCTTTGGGTCAAAGTCCATCCTCTTCACGGAATAATCTTGGATAAATCATCTCACAGCAAGTGGCAGTTTCCTTCTCAGGATAAATGAAGCTTCAGATTTCAGCCTGCATATCTCCTATTCTCTACACTCCACCCTTTTTAAAAAGAATATTAAATAAAGCCAGATCCTTTTATATTATCATATTTATAGGGGCCAACTGAAAATTAATATATCACACTTATTATAGCTGTTGTAAAAATGAAGATGTATCACACATCCCACACTATTAATTTCCATCTGGAGTCTTCCTTCCTTCCCTCTTTCCTTCCTTCCTTCCTTCCTTCCTTCCTTCCTTCCTTCCTTCCTTCCTTCCTTCATTCCTTCATTCATTCATTCATTCATTCATTCATTCCACAAGGTAACATGATGAAATCATTCAGGCTGATTAATGTGGAGGAGTGCTGTATTTCTTACTCTCATCCCACACAACTCCTTCACTACAGTAGCCTTCCCAAATTAAAATGTATCTTCCCAAATCTCCAAGCAACCACCAAAATAGCAGGTACTTAATCACAGAAATACACCTGGACTGGAATAGGGTGGGGAAAAAAGCAGGATATGCATTCATGTTAAGCAACTAGAAGGTTTGGAAAGTCATCCGAAAACCCTCTTCAGCAGAACAAGTAGCATACAGAAAATCCTAATTTAATGTTCAGTATCACCCAGAAAAGCTGAAATATAACTTTGCCTGAAGCTTTGGAGAGCTGCTGCTGACAGGTTGTATATTTGACTTGGGTTTTCTGTGTATTTCATTCTTTGCCTGCTCACTTGATTGCTAAGTCCTCAGCTCAGAAAATTCATGCATTCAGCTGGCTATTCTGACAGCTGTCTAAGTTGTCAAATACCATTTACAAATATTATAAAGGATACCAAAATATAGCCTGATTAGTGGAGAGGGCTGCATTAGTTCCTCCAGGAACTGCAAAAGTAAGTAGAGGAGTAGATACATCCATCTATCTCATTTTCCTCTGCTTCTTTCTCTTGCTCATTCTCATGTACACATGCACAACCATATATATAGACTAGTCTGCAGCTTAATTTTCTACAGTTCTATCATAGAAAAATGTGCACATTGGCTAGTTGACAAAATTCTACTGAAAATTGCAATTGTACTGAAATGCAATTTTAGCCTTCAATCAAGGCTAAAATAAC